TTTGATAGCACCAAACTGACCTCTATCAAACGTAATAAATTTTGTAATAAATGTGCTATTTTTTTGGTCTGTCTGTATGTCAAAAGTAGCACATCTATAATATCGGGAATCACCCAATACTACCCCTCCTCTCACTCTCCCAAAAATATGACCCGAGACAGCAAGAACGTTCGTTTCGATATTCCAGTCTGTCCGCCGTGACGTCGCTGTCACGGCGCGTGTTTGGGTATTCGACAGGGAACTTCATCACCAACTACGAACAATTAATTACGCATCATTTCAGTCATATTGCGAATAAGAATGAAAGAAGAGCCAGTATTACTTAGAAACACAAGGAATCGATTTGCCGTAGAAAGCTTTGGAAGAAATGAGGGAAAGATTAACGTGATCAGTGATTCTTTTTCGGCCAGTGATTATTTAAGGATCCTTTTCATTCTGGTAGCTCGCGAAGAATAATGCTGAGAATTAACGATTTGTATTTAATTATTGATCAGAAAATTTCTAATTTTCAGAGCTGTTAAGTTGGCCCTCTATAGATGAAGGAGAGTCGAATAATAAATGATAATAGTATGGGACCATGGATGAGAAGAATTACGAGTACTAGAACGTATTCAGGTACTAGCAGAAGGTGCTCTTACTCTTCTGTTCGCATTGCAAGAAAGCGCACAAATCTAGATAAAAAGCTTCGAATCAAATAGGGAAGAAAGGAGGGAAGTACCTGTACCGCGTACCGAAGAAGATTCGGAGATCAACAATAATAACAGTAATATCATTAACATCCTCCCAAGCGTTGACGTCTTTTTTCACTTGGTGATCATTGCTTGAATACTTTCGAAATTAATGAATCGGAACCTGTTGGTCTCGAGTGCACCGCATAAATAGCACAAGAAATCACAAGGCCTCTATCAAAGACAATGAATGCAGAAGGCAGCGAACTTCGTAGCAACGATCCATCTCCCATGAGCAATGCGGGAGATGGAGGCGTTCGTACCCCTACGATAGACTTTGACGACTGGGCGGTAGATCCCTTCTCCCTCTCGAAGGAGATAGACGTCTTCTCGTCGTTTGCCGGGGTAGAGGAAGATGCACCAAACGCAGACTCAAATCGGGCATCCTTTCCTCCCTCTTCTGGCGCGGTGGTGGGAAAGAACTCAACTTTAACTGGCACTGAAGACAAGAAAACATTAGTAGCCAACCAAAAAAGTCGAAAGAGGAATCATGCTCAGCAATCGCAGGGGAAGCAAGCAACGACGGTTTCATCGAAGAATGCGTCGTCAGCGAAGAAACGATCAGACTGCATTCCCATTTCGAGGAGGAAAAAGAAACCGAAAGGAATGCCCAAGAGGCCTTTGAGTGCTTACAACCTATACTTTCAAGCGGAAAGAACCAATATCATTGCAAGCCAACAGGCGGAAAACGGACCGAGAATTGGGTTCGAAGGCTTGGGAAAAATTGTGGGCAAAAAATGGCGAGATCTTAGCAGTGCCGACAAGAAAGAATACGAAAAGCTAGCCGAAAAAGATAGCGAGCGCTATCGTAGGGAGATGGATGCCTACCAGAAGAAAAAGGCTAAGCGGTTCGAAGAAGAAGCAGCGTCACGTACGCCAGTGGTATCTAGCATTCCATCTTCCACTACCTCAGCCCAAGCTGCTCCTTTCGATTTGAGGTTTCCGAAGAGGCAAGGTTCTATACAGATCGTGACCATAGGAGGGGAGGGTGTTGGGAACTCTGTTGCATTTGCGCATCCTCCAGAGTCGATGGTTTCTTCTGTTTCGTCGCTGCCTCCCGGAACAACCACGATACCCTACCGTCCGGCTCATTCGGCTCATGTGGAACAGCCTCAAAGCCGGCACGCATTGCAGCAAAACAGTATTTTGGAGGCGCTAAACATAGCTTCTGCTGTCGGTGGTGCTGTCACAAGGGTATCTCCACCAAACTATTACCCGCACCAAACAGTTCCGGACAATGGCGACCTGCCACCATACACCGTGCCCCATCGCAACGACAACTACCCGATGCAACCGGGAATGGAGGTTGTTTTGGCCGATCGCAACGGCATTGATCGCAAGTACCGTGTGCAATACACATGTTACTCCATGACGAGACAAAATGCGAACAAGTACATCGAGAGTCTCACGCGGTCCAGCAATTCTAGTTCCACCACGCCTGCGCCACCGCCGCCGCCGCCTGTAGCAACAACAATGGGTGCAAATACAGAATACGGTGTATGGGGGGTGTAATGGGTTGGGTTGATTATTCTATTGGGCTGAATTGGGAGTGAGAGCCACACAATCTACCCTTGTCAGATCTACAATTCATTTCTTCTACGTTTCTGCAATTTCAAAATGTGATTTTATCTATTTTACTTGTACAAGTACCGTGCTGTAGTTCATATGATGACTAAGAAACTTAAAAAAACATACAATATTCATATCTCTGTAAAATTATAGACATATTATAGATTCATGATTTCACTGCCGGTAACCATCGAAGGCATTTTGTCTCGCTAGTTCTGAATGCGACGTTCTTGCTGTGCTCTCAACCAAACTGCTTATGATTCGCACCGGTGTCATGGCTGAACTGACTGGTTATTTGTGTCCTAACCATCCATAATATTGGAAGATCATAACTTTCTTTCTTTGATACTGCATATTGACAACATTATCAAACCATAAGTCAGAGAAAGCAGATTCCAGATCACTATGTGTTCCATGGCTCAAGGAGACAGTAGGAAATAACAAGCCAGCAACAAGTGACGAAAATCCCTCTAGACCCCCAGACTAAGCGCCTGGTCCTTGTTGACATAATTACTTATGAGTCAATTTACTTCTTTTAGTAATTGGGAAGCCATGAGATGCTCTAGAGGCTTGGAACTAGTTCAAGGACAAATTAAAGTTGCTGGTGGCCAAACTTCCTGCCAATGAATAGATATAGATACGAACCTTACGTATGGTACATACTGTAGTTGAAACTTGAAACGAAACTTCCCGTATGTTGATTCAATACGAGAAAATCTACGTATGAAGCCTAAAAGAATTGAAAAACCCTATTGACTAAATAAATTACTAAAGAATGAGATCATCATTCCATACCCGGGTTTTCTCAATTTTCTTGTTTTACATGCAAGAGACATATTTGTTCATACTGGCCATAAATCTTGGCATGTCTCAACATAAATTTGATTCTTGCCGAATATTCGATTCGACGACGTCTGTTTGTCAACACACTCCTCGCCACGCAGAAATACTACTATCCGATAATGGTGGTTTTCTTCGCGGTGCATCTTGGCTGAACAGTAGTGGTCCGCATTGCTTTTTCTTTCATATACTGCTGCTTGTATCGAATGTAATCGGCATCAGTGATACCTTGAATGGTATTCCTAAACTTCCTGAATTTAGCTCCTTGCAGTGGCTTGGTGAAATAGTCTGCAACGATTTCATCGGTTGGACAGTATTCCACTGTCACTTCCCCTTTCTTGACCCTGTCGGTGATGAAAAAATATCGGACGTTGATATGTTTGGTGCGTTTTGTGCTGGACGATCTCCCATTCTTTTCGAGCTTGATAGCACTTTCATTATCTTGATACAGGATATTGCTCTGCATCAACTTGAGTGCTTCGTTGTCAAGATTAGCCGCATTGTCAGACATGTGCTGACGCTGAGCCATGAGAAAATAACGGGTCCATAGGATGAATGTCATATTGTCATCCACACCAACGACCTCTGCCTCTGTGGAACTCTTGGTGTTTAACTTTTGTTTGGTGCATGTACTGATGGCAGCACCGTTGCCCATGGTCATTATACCACCACTGTGGCTCCGCATGTCATTGTGTACGGCAAACGCGGCATCCACGTGCCAGTATATATTTCCGGTGTGATCCCACCCGAGTACTAAAGGAAGGAATGGTGTTTCAGTGAGATAACTCATAACTCTCTTCAACTTCTTCCAGTCATCGACATCAGGTTCTGACACTCGAGTGCATAGGAAAGCAACGGATGTCTGTATGTCTGGCCTGGTTCTTTTGGCCATGTAAAGTAGTTTCGCCACGTAGTGGTGGAAAAGATTAGCGTCCGGCTCGCCAAGCTTCTCTGCATCTTCGTTGATCTTGAATAGGTGGTCGGCGGCCGGTGTGGCTGCCTGACCTTGCAGACTCTGAGGGAGACCCTGTAGTATGTCCTCCAGGTAATCGAACATGTTGAGCATCACGCGGCCTGGGCTTGTATAGTCAATTGTCATACCGACATAGTCGTGAATCTTTCCCCTGGTCTCTGTTAGGGGCGATTCAACACCAAACTCCTTGTTGAGGTCCTCTATGATTCCAGTGACGACTTCCGCCTGCTTGTGGGATATTTTTAGGTCATCCACATGCCACACGATGGTACATTGCTTCCCGTTGATTATCTTGTTCACGGTGCATGGGTCGTATGGATTCATTTCAAAGCCCCACTCCTCGAGCTTACCGGACAGCTTTTCCCAGAACAAGATGGCTGCTCAGAGGGTTCCGTAGATCGCCTTCTCAGCCTTTGTAAATAAAGTTTTCTTTCCTTGTTTATTTACAAGATACTTGCGATACATCTTGGGGTCCACTTTACATAGCAGCTCTGCCATGGGACCATCAAGTCTTATATACACGTCCTCCCCCTCCGGCATGTCCGTCTGAAGAAAAGCCCCAGGGATGTCAACTGTTGCCACATCACGTTGTTCAATGGCGTCAATGATACATGATAGTATGAGTGCGTACAGTGACACGGTTGGGGATGTCGCATCCTCTTTCCGAATGAAATCACGCTGTCGCCTCCCATCAGCACACCCCCTTCCTTTGATGGACGCGTCACGCTTCCGCTTGAGAAACATTAGATAGGGGAGGGCCTGCTGTACCATTTCCTTGGTCATTGTCTTTGGATCCAATGCAGACAATACTTTTCGATCGTGTATTTGTTGCAGCTCTTTTAGTACTGCATTCACACCGGCTTCGACGAATAACCTGATTCCTTTCTTGACCCCATACTGTGGAGTCACGGGCGATGCGTCAAGGTTATTATACTGATGTATTGCATTGTTGACCAGACTAACTGCTTCGTAGTTCTTAATTAGCGCTTGTACAGCCTTGCTGTAGCCCTTGGTGAAAAAAGACCGTTCATGCACTTGCGGTTGGAAACCATCGGCGGTCCCGTACTTATTATGTGTACGTCGTACTGTTTGTCGCAAACGAGCGCTAAACGGCTCAACCTCAGTTTGTTCCTCATTGATCTCCTGCTCCACTTCTTGGGTATTCTCATCCGGTGGTATATCACTGGCTGCATTGTCGTTATCGTTAGCTTCCTCGTCTGGCAGATCCGCAACGGTATACTCTTGCTCCTCGACTTCATCCGCTTGCGAAACCTCATCGGGTATCATCAGCGGCTGTTCATCCATGTTGTCACGGCCATCTAGCTCAGTGACATCACTCTCTACAGACCCGATGGACACATCGTCGCCTCCTTCACTGCCGGCTGATGGATGGTATGAAGCATCGGATGCGTCATCATCATCGGCATTCTCCTCTGTGTCGATGTCATGAATTGTGCTCCTTCCATGCGAGTCACCGAATATGATTCCCTCGTCTAGCTTTTGTGCCCTGGCAATCTCCTCGACACGGTTGGCTATTGCTTGGGTCATTGGTGTGGCTGTTGCTGACCGTCTATGGATACGCTTTCCAGTGTTAATATCATATGCCCAATATCCTCCGGTCAGCGTCCCAGTTGGACGGAGATAGAGGGCCTCCACTGCGCGTGGTGACATTGTGTTATCGGTGTCATCCTCGTGGGCGAGGACAGGTTGCATGAACTGAAACTTGCACTCCTTAGCGTCAAGTGGTATCCCAGTCATGAGTTCCCTGGCTGACATTGTTTTGCACACTCCCACTGTCCTATAGTTTAACCAGAATGTTACGGCATATACCAGCTCGATGATGCATCTTTTCGGTAATCGTTTGAACGGAACATGATTGAAATAACATCGGATGTTCTCCTTCATCGTACGGATGCTTCGTTCAATGGTGGGTTCATGTTGTCCTGCTGCCACACAGTGGAGTTGGATTGGGTGTTCGAGCTGCAGTAAGTCGTCTCTCAGACACTCGAATTGGTTATCTCCGCACACCTGAGTCACGATGAAACCACGTGTTCGATACTGTCCTGCCAAAGACCGAACACAATCCAGCAGTGTGTCTTGGCTCGCATTAGTTAGGGCACGCGTTGTCCGGAACTTGATGTGCCTGGATATGGTATGGAAAAAGCGGATTCCGTTTACTGTCATTATATCCACATGTAAAGTGATATCCCCATACTTGTGCAGAATGTCCGGTGGGAGCACCGTTAGGTCCTCCTGCATGTGGTCGGCGTTGGTCCTGGTCTGTTTTCCTTTAATGAGGCTAGGGTGTTTACCGTATATTGCCTCGGCATTCATCACGTCTCGTCTTGTGACCGCAATGTTGGCAATTATCTTCTTATCCAACATGTTGATTAGATCCTTTGCGGTTGGGAAACCCAGTACTTCTTGTAGTCTCTGTGCCTTCTCGGCCCTGCGACAGTCCAGGTGGGACAGCTGTTCCTTGTTTGCTTCTACTGACGGCATTGCCAGCACTGTTGCTCCTTCATCCTGTGACGTGTCAAAATAATAGAGGTTACACAGGGATCTGCCGAATCTTCGTGTTTTCCCATCCTTGTTGTGTACATGCAAGGCGTTGTCGACTGCTGTGTCCATCGTCACTCGATACATATCGGACACTAGTGCTAGGGACAGGACGCTTGCTATTCCGTCCCCGTAGAACCACACTTCCCCGAAACCCGGCAGGTCTGCGATCTTATTCGTATGGGCCTTTCCGGAGTTGCAATGAATATTTAGGCTTCTTCCTTCTGGTGCCGTTCTAATGTTCTTAACCAGCTTAGGGTTAGTGATTAGGTTGCAGGATGATTCGCTGTCCAAAAGGATCCAGTCCTTGTTCACCCTGCCTTCGTTTGACTGTGCGAGGAGTAATTCAACATTTGGGCCGTATCGAAACACGGTTATAACCCMGTAATGTAGGGCTTGGCTGTCAGTGTACGCGAGATCCAGGGCCGTAGTTGACTTGTTGTAGCGGCCCTTGTGGGCCTGTAGCACATTTAGATCCTTGACGATGGTTAGGTGATCTAGACTTAGTTTGGTCGCGCATGGGTTCATTCCCATCCGCTGCTTGATGGCCATGGGACTGACTTCGGATTCACAATCAGTGGTTACGGTTAGGTCCTCACTGTAGCTTGGGTCCTCTTCATGGTTGTCTTCAAACTCTTCAGCGAGCCATTGTATTGTTTCGTCGCTCTCGTCGGTAGTGTTTCCGTCGCACCCCTCGGCATCATGAGCAATCCAGTAGTCCCAGTCGTCTTCATGATCAATCGTGTCACTCCTCACTGTGCTGTGGTCGTCGTGTTGCCCGTTTACGTCATACTCATCCTCTTTGTGTTCGTTGCTTGACCACTGTACGTGGCATTGTGCTGATTCACATTCTTGCCCGTTCATTGTCACTTCCTCGCACAGCTGGAAATAGTTGTCCATGTCCTGGCCGAAATCATCGTCATTATCAACTGCGATCATTAGCATTTGTTTTGCCGTCTCAGGCTCAGCTCGGATTTCGCTTCCCTTGTTTACGAAATTAGTCGCTTCCTTGCTGTCGCCCTCTATTTCCTTAAGTTGTTGATGGTTGTTATGTCTCTTTTGTTTTCCTGGTCCGGCTTGCCCTCCGTTGTTGTTCTTTGCTCTTGCCTTGCCTTTTCTCGTACCTTTGAAATGATTCAGCATGTCGAGGGCCTTAGTCGTAGTCGTTGGGTATTGGTCGAAACCCAAATTGAATTGGTTCCCAAGTGTCTCTTTAAGAGTGCTAGTCTCTTCATCACTTCCTTCGATAATTATTGCTGCAATGAATTGTTGATATGCGGCGTGTTCGATACCCTTCTTCGTTACATCCCCATCTTGCATCCTTAGGTAGTCCTGATAGGAGACGTCCTTATACTTTTCGTTTGTATCGAGTTCGTGCTTGATAAGCGCTGGGCATGTGTATATTCCCCCAATGGTCTCCAATACTTCACCGACTTGCACAACCTGTTGGACGTATGTGGTACAGTCAGGTGAAGTATTTCTTTGTCGAGAGCACAGTAGCTTTCGAAGAGACCTCACTATGTTGGTTGGTGTATGTATCTTTGTCTTGTTGCCTTGGAAACAGATGTCTCTCAGTAGCTTCAGCAATTCGACGGGGCATCTGTCCCTTTTGATAGACTCCCATCTGTCATTGCTCTTCAGCTTTTCTTTCATTCCATCGTCAATCTGTCCCAGTGACACAGCAAAGATCTTTATCATGTCTGAGGCGTATAGTTTGTAGTCCTTTACGCTTTGCTTAACCTCTTCCTTGTACATGTCGGTTAGAACTTCCTTTAGATCCTCTTTCACGGTCTTGGTGTTGGTGTTCGTATCAACCGTTGTCCATTCTGATTCCTGTGGCTTAGATGGTGCAAAGTCAGATCGTTGGAACCGCTTTAGTGTTTCTATTGATATGCCGACCTTGGGCATGTATTGTGATCCACCGAGAGTTTGCAGCCTCTCTTGGAGCTCGGTGAATTGTGTGATGCTCCCATCTTCCGTGAGAACGATACCTTCAAGGTCTCCTTTGCTGTGACCTGTGAATTTCTTTGTTGTGTCTTTCTTGCCATTGGCTTTGCCTTTGTTGTGTTGGCGTCTTGGTGCAACTTTTGACCATTCGGATTCTGAACCTGACCCATTTGGGTTCTGCTTGTTCAACATTTCGCTCCTTGGAGGATCCTTGCCGCCCTTGGGTCGACTAAACAGCTATCAATAGATCCTTGGATCCTATTCCTGTAACTGGCGATATGCAGAATAGCTATCGGCTTTGTTTTTCTTTAGTAATTTATGTTGATTCAATACGAGAAAATCTACGTATGAAGCCTAAAAGAATTGAAAAACCCTATTGACTAAATAAATTACTAAAGAATGAGATCATCATTCCATACCCGGGTTTTCTCAATTTTCTTGTTTTACATGCAAGAGACATATTTGTTCATACTGGCCATAAATCTTGGCATGTCTCAACATACATTTGATTCTTGCCGAATATTTGATTCGACGACGTCTGTTCGTCAACACCGTACGGTACGAGTTCAAATTTAAATATTTCAAAAAAATAATGCTTAAAGCTTCCAGCAGGGTAGAACGAGTACTTTTATGAACCGTACATACTGTACAAGTGATTTGGTCTCTGAATTGCGACCAGTACTTTACTTTATTCAATTCTCTGGACTGTTGTAGCAAGTACTATCATTGCGCCAACTGTGCTCTGTCACCCTAGAATTCAGTCGACATTTGGCTAACAGTACCACTCGGGGCAGCGTCAAAAGCAACGAAACAAAATCGTAAATCACCAGCGCACAGAAAACTGTCCTGATGTCTATTCTTCGTCGATCCACCGACGCCAGGCCCTATTGGTCGTTGGGAAAGATTGCGAATATTGTTTTTGTCAATGCTCTTTTTTTCATCGCAATACAAAGTGTCACGAGTAAAGACACCTGTGGAGCTACAGCAACGCCACCGCAGAAGCTGCTCAATTCGGCGTTTGTGTTTGTGAAGCCCCATGCGAATACAGAAAAAGTCCGCGAATTAGTTGCGGAAAAACTCGAGAGTGCCGGAATAAGCATTCTTTTCGAAGACGACATCGGTGGTGAAGAAATCGATCGCAATGGCCTCATCGATCAGCACTATTACTCGATTGCCTCGAAGGCGACCATTTTGCCGGCTGAAAAGATACCGGTCCCGCCGAAAGTTTTTCGTGAAACGTTCGGAGAGGAATGGAGCAAGGTGCTAGAAGAAAACAGGGCGGCGAACGCACTCGATGCATGCAAACGTTTTGGATGCAGCCCAGAGGAGTTGAACGAAGCCTGGAATAAGGTGTCTACGGTAAAATTCGGTGGAGGCTTCTATTGTGGTGAGTAAAAGTGAGCACGAAACATTATGTTGCTTAGTAACTCTCTTCATGACCAACGCATTCAACATTATAGTGCTGACATTCTTCCTCGTTTTCTCTCCTAAAATAGGGAAAGTGTCAGTTAACGGAAAACCCGAACTCTATGTATTCAATGCCTTTTTCATGACGATGAGGTCGAAGTTTGTCGGCAAAGATAATGGAATCCACTGTTTCACCGTAGAGTGGGACTCAGATACACTCTCTTGGTCGTCGTTTCGGCATGAAATTCTAGGGCCCACAGATCCAAAGAAAGCGCCGTCGAATTCAATCCGCCGATCAATATTGGATCAGTACAAGAATCTTGGGCTCTCCTCCGTTCCCAACCACTCCGACAACGGTGTTCATGCTTCGGCGTCTCCCTTCGAGGCTCTAGCAGAAAAGTTGAATTGGTTAAGCCTAAACTTGGAATCAGATAGTTTGGGAAAGAAACTCCTTGATGCTGGCATCAGCGAAACGAGGATCAAAGAATGGTGTCTCGACCCTCAAATAAAAACTTCGGACTCATCAACGGGAAGTTTATTCGATGAATTAGAGGACCTAAATGTTGATGACTGCGTGAGCAAACTTCTAGAATTGAATAGATTGAATTAAAATAAGTTAATCACTTGTTATTGTCCCTTGTACACGTGAATCTTTTTGTATCCTTCGTGGATAGATCGAAGAATAGCCCTGCATTCTTCGTCAAGCATTGAATTTAATTGCAGAGATTCGTGCTCCTGGATTATGTCTAGAAGACAATAAATACCAGAAAGTAGACTTTTCTTGCAGGCAGGATTCATATTACCCTGTAAAGAATTGACAAATCGCAAGATGAGGCAAATTACGTGTTTTTTGTACACATCACCGTGAGGGAGCATTAATTCGCACAGTCTCGAAAACTTTTGACCACAAGTAGATGTGTAATCTCGAGGCAACGATTCTCGTAGTGTGAATTGTAGCATCGCAGTCAAAGTAATGACGAGCGAAGGGACGCAAGAGTGCATCTGTTTCGAAAATCTTTGGAGGAAAAACGCTACCAGAGAGAAACAAGCTTCAAATGATTTAAATTGGACCACTTCTGTCTTTACTTGTATACCTTCTTCGTCTTCTTCAACCCTGATAGCGGATGTTACCCGAGCAAGAATCCGAGCAATGTCTCTCTCACGGAGTATCATTATTTCCTTTTTACTGGCCATCTCAATAATCAGCGAAGATACTTCTAGAATAGAACTGGATCTTGTGTCGCTTTTCTGGGCAACTTGAGTCATAACCTGGAGACAATTGTTCATAATCAAAGATGAATGTTTCGCAACAAGTTCGATCTGGCTTTCATCCGTTGTCGAGAGGATGATCATACGAATCACTCTCAACTTTATTGCTGTAGAGGGGACTTCTACAATTGTCGATGTCAATGTCCGCAGAAATTCATCAAATTCGTTGAGTTCCATCCTTCTTGCTACTGCACACAAAGGAGTCAAGAAAATATCATAACCTTTTAAATTGGCTTGGAGCAATTTACATGAAAGATCTCTTCTGACACCACTCGAGGGATTTGTCATGGCGAAACAACCCACCAAATATGCAAGGGATTGCACTTCAGGATTCTTTAAATCTAAGGCCAAAAAATCTCTCAGTTTTTCCACAACCTTGTTCCCCGAAATGCTAAATGGAATCTTATCTTTGTCGGGGCAAGTCGAGCAGATCCGAAGAACTTCGGCGACAAAGACTATTGATTTATTCTGATAAAACAAATCTGCATCTTTTGGAGGTTGAAAACAATATTTCTGGGCTGTTACCCAAAGACGTCTTTGTACAACACATAACAATGATTTGATCGGTTCTGAATCGAATTCTAAACGGAAGCGTTCACCAAAATTCTTCAGAAGAGCGTTAGCATAGCTTGTCAAAATAAGGTACTTGATACCTCCTTGTTGAACTTCGTCTCGATCAAACATTGTATCTAGAACACCGACCATGTCTTTGGTCGACTTCGTGTTATTAGTCGTCCACTTTTTGACAAGAGATTCAACAACCGCATTGCAAGAGTGGAAACAATCATGTCTCGCCCTCGAAGATATGTTGTTGTCAATTATTTCGAAGGAATTTTCCAAAATGCATCGCAGGAGCATCGCGTAATCTTCTTCCTTTATTCCAGATACTTGGTCATCAGAATTAAGTTTCATGTCATCCAGTACTCTTGAAGCTGCGGTACGTAAAGATGATAGTAGATGTGCTTTGGTATCGAGAAACTGGAATTCGTCACTGGCATTCAATGTGACACAAATCGATTCAATTCTTATAAGCGATTCAAATATTTTTGAAGCCTCTTCGCAGTCTTTCCAAACGGGTATATTCCTGTTATTGATCGTCTCAAAAATTCGCAAACACGACTGTAACAGCTTATTGATTTCAGGAAGATGTGTTGATGCACATGATATCGGTATTCCACTCTTCTGAACATCCCTGATCTCCTTAAACGATTTTTTCCTCCAATGTTTGTGAAGAACTGGGCATGAAATTTCAAGATGCCTTGATAACGAACCATCACACAAAGTCAAAATCTTTTGAACATTTCTCGCTACAAAAGAAATTATATTTGCACCAAGTCGCTCTGAAACATTCGAAACCTCGTAGAAACTTGTATCATTCAACAATGACATCATTTGGTACCGACTTTGCAGATGTGATTTACCCGAGATCGCCATGGCCTCAAGAAGCTGGTTCAAAAACGAGTCGATATCATGTTGATCCGCATACGGCGCCCACGCTGCGATAGATTCTGCGAGAGCCATCCATTGGTCCCTAGCTTTTTCAACGAATCCTGAGTAACTACTAGTCAAAATACAGTCTCGAAGAATGAAGCCCACAAGTTTTTGAGCTTCTGCACTCTCGCTAGCAGTGCTGTATTGATCTGCATCCGATGCATATGCAAGCTTTTGCTTTTCGTAGCATTCTCCATGCAGCTGCTGAATTCTCTGACACGCAAGAAACTTCAAGGCTTGGAAAAGATCCTGATCGCCTTCTCCGTGGTGTTTGGCATGATCGGCACTACTATTGGTTGCATCTTTCAAGACACATCGAATTGCTGAGGGAATAACAGCGTTCTCTTCATCCGGTAATTCACTTTGATTTTTACCAACCCAAAACTCACATCGATTCTTCAGATGTATTGTCCAAGCGCAAAGGATAACAGCATTTTTCAAGTTCCCCAACCTTTCAGATTGATTTTTGGTATCTCCTTCATCAGATCCAATCAAGCCAATAACAGTTCCATTTAGAATGTCTTTGCAAATAGGGTAGATTTCAGTTGAAGAATTGGAGTCGATCCGAACATTCTGTAAAAGCCCTGTTAATAATTTTGTGAAGATGGCAGTTCCGACCGAAGAGACTTCCAAAGGAATTGAATTACCTTGACTGGATGATTGATTTGTGTTTGGATCTTTAATAGCCGAAAAGGTTTGCTTTAGCTGCTGTATAGGACTTTCTTGAATTACTAGTCCAAGATGGAGCGAAATAGTTTTGTGATCGGTCAAGGTCAACAACTGAAAGAGTCTCTGAGTATCATTGCGGTGAGACAGCACCGATACAGCATTAAACAAACTCTCATAAAAGTAATTGAGTTGCCTCAACTTTCCATAAGTTTGGATGATTGTCACAAGAAAAGTTGTAACCTCGCGAGGTGCTTGAAATGTACACGATGAAGATTCATGTTGTTGATTTTTTGAATTGTAAGTCAAGCACATGCCGAGAACTTGTGCAAGTTGCTCATGCAGAATGGTGTGGTCTAATCGAGTGAGAACGTCAAGAACCACAAGCGCATTTCTCCATTCCCCTATCTCAAGTTTATTATCGTCCTCTCCTTCACATGGTGATACAAATTGGATTGTTTCCTTCCCAATTTTGTCTAGGAAGGATCTCTCTGCACTGCTGCCTAATGATGGCTGATAAATATTGTGCCTCAACAGAAGTTCTAAATTCTTCCCCAGCATTTCGAAGAACGAAAGTCGCGGTCCATTATCCTGTGTCGGCTTGTTGCTGGCAGTAGCCTTGGATGCTAACAGTCCCTTCAGTAGATATCCAGAAAGGCACGAAAAAAATCGAAATTGTAGGTGACCCATCTTGTTCGCTCCTTTGTTCTTCTTTTGTGACTTTGATGCTGCTTGTTGTTCTTGAATTTTTGACACTTGCTCCAGAAAAATATTTTGCAAGAGAGGCAGAATAGACGCAACGACATCTATGTCGGTTGTAGACATACCCACACCATTTTCTGCATTTAAAAATCCCTCCAATGTTTTGAATAGTCCTTCCTGGTAGCCGCGAAACGAAGACTTTGTATTTTTTGTGGCTTTGGGTACGGTTGTGCCATCGATGTCGGGGACGGTCAATTGCAACGATCGAAAACCTTCCATATGATGTTGCAAACTAAACATTCCGCCCCGAATCAAATTTTCGAAGACTTTTTTCGTACTCGGTAGGTCTGCTCCCCGCGACTCGGAAGCATTTACGCGTTTGTCATAGTGTTTTTGATCGCAGTAGTGGAGCATGGCTAGGTCAAGAAAAACCTTTGGTTTGACTAGCAGCTGAAAGCTCTTCTTCGGATTGGCACTTGCGATTCTGAGATTCATCAGCTCGAGTGTCGATGTCGTGACACTTCGCCAAGCGGCGATCCGTTGTGGGTTCTTTATCTCCTTCGTTCCTGTCGCCAGGATCGGGAGCAAGGAATCACAAATCACGTCAAACGGAGGCCGATATACATGGTCCACCAATCGACAGTAGCATCCCTTTGCTAAATCCTGCGCTGTAGTCTTTTCCGTCTTCTTTGTCTCCGACAAAGCGTCTCCGTCTAGCGCGAGAGCCAAAGCGATCGGCATGATTTTGTGCATAGTACTCAATGTGAGGATGGTATTGAAATTGTTGTCATCGTTATTGTTGTTTCTTTCTTGAGTGGATGGATTCTTCGAAGACCACACCTTTGATTCTGAACGATCAAAGAAGAAAGCAAGGCAGCCCTCTAGTGCGTTCCAATACATGAGAACTTCCATAGAAATCCCTTGTTTCCCGATCGTCGGCGATTTGTTTGTCTTCTTGTTGTACGCGCTTTGTAGGATTCCCCGCACTGACCAAGGGAGCAGGAGACGGGCAACATCGTTTCGAGACACAAATCCTACTGGTTCCGCAGCATTTGTTTCACTCAGCATGTACTTCAAAAGAAATGCAACCGTCTTGTCCATAAGGAGTTCTTTGCTTTGTTCTGGCTTGGTTTCGGTACCCTCCCCAATATCAATATCCATAGCTGACATATCATTGTCGTTACTTTGTTTTGGCTTCGTCTTCGTGGATAATTCCGTAAACACGAGCATCTCGTCAAATACGCGGTCGGCCTCGTTCATGGTTTTCCCATCTTTTTCTTCACCTGCTACATTCATGTCCGCTGACGAGGATTCATGATCGTTGCTGCAATAACCGCCAGGCCGGGATGCCTCACCGTAAATCACCAAAAATGGATTGCTGTCGAACGAAGGGGACAGAGGTGCTGCTGTTTTCAATTTTTTCGCTGCATGCATGTTGGACTCTGACGGTGATTTTGATCTTGACGATCGCCTTCCCATGGTAAAGATTTTGCTGCTTCGAGTTGCTTGCTCTCAAAGGCTGCTGTTCCTTGCTGTCAACTGTTTGCTTTGGCTGTCGCTCGAAGTATCTGGAGCTACCCTAACACATAAATGTTCAAAAACCATATCCTACGACGAAACAACTTCCGGGAAAAGCAAGATGGACGAACAAAATCAGGAATCACAACATCATCTCGACGGAGCCATGCGAGACATCATGCCAGACTCCTGTCAGCCTTCCGTACGTACAAGTCGTACAAAGATTGTTACTGTACGGTACAACGAAAAAAGTCTGAATGAGATTTTTGAATGGATTTTGAATGGATAGCGACAAGTACGAGTATCGCGCGATCCCCATACGGGTATCTTGCGCGGTAAGGAAAACACATCAATTTTTTAAAATCTAATCGTAGGAGTCAATCAGAATTCAATCTGAAAAACGACCAAAAAGACGACCTGCTAATGGAAGAAAAAGAGATGAACAAGAAAACAATCAAGCCAAATACTAATGTACAGGATTCTTCACCTCCCCTTTACTTTGAAGTTGATAGTTATACCCTTTCTTATCATTGTAAGCTGTCGTTTCGCTAGTAGTGGTGCAAGATGGAGGGAGATGATAGTACTAGTAGTATCATTAATTTTAATAGTAGTTGTCCTGTAGCTGTTAACATTACTGGTACTACTAGAAGTATATCATAGTTTTAAGCAATATGCAGTCTATTTCAATGTGAGTCCGATCACCGTCCATTCTCATTCATAGAATCCAGGAAAAATCGCCTCACTGGTTCTACCTTTGTAGCTAAGGGAGAGCCCAAACCCAACGACACAGCATTGGGTACCCCTCTGTTGCGACCACATGGGTCAGGAGCCCACCATTTCGTCCTCATGAATGGTGCGCACAACAATTGATTTCATAGTCAGAACCATTGGCGTTCAAAGAAAGAGATCATCGAACGGGATCTGCACGTCCTCTTTCTCTTGGACTTCCCACCAGGTCAGCAACTCTTTGGCTCTTTCGTCGTTGAGACCCCTGGCTATGTCCCTGCACGCCCGAGGCATTCCGGCACCAAACATTTGCTTCCAGAGTTCTTCTTCGCGCCGCTCGTAGTTTTTGTCGTTCACGACTTCCTCGGGAGGGTTACAGATGTACGAAATCAATTTCTCGGTAGAGTTCAGGATTGGATGGCGCCTTCGGATGTTTGATGGAATGCTGTTGGCGAAGAGAGTAACAGCAGATTCGAAATCAAGCTCCCAGACAGGGACCACCTTTTCTCCTCTGGTTTGATCCGATCCCATCGAAGTTTGTTCGGAGATCAAAATGATCTTTATGGCCTCCGTCGTTTGGATCTTCAACAATTCGTCAAAAACAGTGCGGAAATTCTTTGTGTTGCGTTTCTCTTTTTCACCGTTTTCATAGCTTTCTAGGTCGAACACCAAGAGCAAAGACTTTTCCGCTGTCATTTTTGTGATGGACTGCAAAATCTTCTGAAGTTCGGATCCGTCTTTAATATCCACGTTGTCTTCGTTAATGATGAGATTTATAAAGGACAAAATGTCTTGGTAGAGGTTGTTCGTACAATCGACGAGTCCTTGCGTCGGAAACCAAAATATGCAGTCGAAAGGATACGTCCTCGATCTTCGCAGGATGTGATCGCACACCGCAGAAACAATGGCTGTCTTTCCCACACCGGATTTTCCGTACACCCGAACAATGTCGGTCGTGGAAAGATCGTTGAGTATGCTGTATTGCTGAACCTCACGGCCGACAATAAAGTCCTTGGGTCTCGGAAACCCGACCGTTTCAATCTTGTTCGAAGACTCGCCCATCACCGACGGTGTTTCCGAGGAGAAGAACACGGGAACGTCGTGGTACGAAGGATCGTCCGGCCGTTCCGGCAGCAGCAAGAACTTGCCGGCCTCGATTTCCGAGTTCACCACCAGCGGAGAGTTCTGGACGGCCTGCTGGGCCATGTTGAAGGCCTTCAGCAGTGTGTTTTGGCAGGCCAGCGCGCGATAGAAATTCCGGGTGAACTCCCGTGCCGCCGCGTCCTGGAGGCGCTCGTTGACCAGGCAGCACACCGCGTGGGGAACCCCGGCGTCCACAAAGGCCTCCCCCACCCACTGGGAGTGGCAAGCCGAGATGAACACCACGAGGAGCCCGCTGTCGACCGCCGAAACCATTCGTTTCAGCACGTCGGCACTGACCATTTCGAGACCGCCCCTCTCGTCTTCCAGAGCAATGTAGCTAGGGTGCCCATGCCCGCTAAAATGCATCACCTGGCTTATCCCCTGGGCTAGAAAGGCATTGAGTCTGTCCAGGGACGCGGTTTCGAAAATCACGTCGATCGTGCACCCTAGCGTTTCGGCATCCTTCAGCGCCTCGCACAGCATGCGGGACTCCTGGTTCAGGTCGACCCTCGGCAGGGGCTGGATGTTGTTGTTTTTGTCCTTGAAGACGAGGGGGGCCGACTGAAACACAAAGAGCCGGTCGTAGTTGTCCTGGGCATTTCCCAAACGATTGAGTCCGTTCACCACGTAGTTCCAGTCCTCGGGGCGATCCTTCGGGTCCTTTTGCAGCAGAGCGTCGAGAAGCGCGACGGGCCACTTGGAGTCCACCTTCGACAGTTTTTCGTACTTCCAGTCGTCGTCCCAGTCCCGCAGTATGATTAGGTCGTCGTCGTCGACGTCCTCTTTCATGTCGACGTTGAAGAGCTGCTTCCCGGTGCAGAGAAAATACAACAGAGCTCCGAAGCACCACATGTCGTACTGAGGGGTCGCAATAACGTCGCCGGGCTTGCTCTTCATCTCCTTAAGGTAAGGCGATTTGGAACAGAGCCGCATGAGGCGCTTCACCCCGTCGGTATCGTTCCTGGCACTCGCAGCAGCAATCTTTACCATGATGGAGTCCATGGACTCCTCCGCCGAAGCAAGCGAGAGACTGGAATTGTTCGAGCGCTCGAAGGCTTCCACGGCGGCCTGCTCGGGTGGAAGGTAACCGGAACTCGTGCGTTTCTTCCCCACCTTTTCCCGCCCGATCATAGAGCTGTTGTCCAGGTCGATGGCCGCGAATCCCACGAGGCCGACGCCCCTCGCAATGAAGTTTCTGGCCTTGACGTCCCCGTGACAAACCCCGCAGATTTCGTTCAGGAATTTCAGGCAGAGCGCGATTTCTTTGGCAATCGACGTGACCACCAGGAGGTCCTTTCCGGCAATGTTCTGGTGCGAGATAAAGTCGTGAAGGTCGTACCCGGCTCCGCAGTCCATGACGATGACGTACTTGAGGTCGGATCCCTTGAGCCGGATGTTCGGGTACGGAACGAGCTCCGTCGCCAGGTTGACCTTGGTGCACTCGAACTCGTCTATGGCCATGCTGGAGAAACTGGCCTTGATGGGCACTATGTACTTGGAACCCTCCTTGCTTCGCTTCCCGACCTCCCGCCGCTGGTACACCTCGTTGCAAAACATTTCCCGCGTCGCCATGAACTTGAGGGCGACCGGGTGCTCCACTATCCTCCCATCGCTCTCTTTCATCGTTTCCGTTCCAAAGACGACCACGCAGGATTCCGATACGTGCTTGTTTCGTTTTTCGAGGCGGTACCTGCGCAGAAATCTACCTGTGGTGTCAACAAGGATCCGGACGAAACGGCAAGAAGGTTTTGAGTATTGTTATTATTTGTGGTTGGAAGAAGTTCGGGCATCGAGACGGACGCAAGAAACGATCGGCGCCGACCGGCGGCCTGCCCCGGAAGAAGCTCAGCGCAGCACAGTGCAACGCGGAGCGGCTGAAAACGCACCGTATCCCTGTCCCCACCGCTTCAGGGCCGGGGAGCTGTTCGACAGCTTGGCCCGGTCCGCGACCCTCGTCCGGACAATGTCCGAAACCCTGGCGCGGGAGACAAACCTGAGAATGACGTCCCCGTCCTCGTTGCAGATGGAGAACTCCTGGTGGTCCAGGTTCAGCTTGTTTTTCTGTTCCACAATGACCTGGAGGAGGGCGCTCGCGGCGTCCGCCGTGTCGAAATCGGCCACAATGTCCAGCAGGCACCAGTTAGAGAGAACCTCCTTGTTGAGATCGAGGACGAGGACTCGTCCGTCGGTCCCGGCGCTGCCACCAGCGTTTTCCGGGAGCTGCGACTGCTGTTGGTGTAACTGTTGTTGCAATGATTGTTGTTGTTGTTGTTGTTGCGACTGTGGTTGTCGTGTTTGCGATTGGTGCGGGTGTTTCAGCAGCACGTCGTTCTCGTCAAAGAGGGAGAAAAACGCCCAGAGCGAGACCGGGTTTTCCAGGCTGAAGAGCGTCTGCAGGGCCCGGCCGTCCCGGGCGGTCTCCAGGAGGAGCTTGAGCCGGAGCATGGTTTCCCGGCGCAGCAGGTCGTCGATGCACTTGGCCGCCGCGCACTCCCCCACCAGTATGCTGACCGGGCTCCCGGTCGAGGGCCCGATGATCTCCGAGGCCGCCGGGGAGGCCCGGTAAAGCTTTTCCAGCGTCCGGGTGACGGCCCGGGCCACCTCGGTCGTGCGGCCGCCGCCCCCCAGGGAGACCTTGGACTTGAGCGAGGGCACAAAGGAGCTGCAAAAGGTGTTGAGGGGGAGGTTTCCGGTCCCGTCCTTTTGCTGTACGACCTCGGGAAAGGAATCCAGCAGAAAATCGAGGTTGCTGAGGATCGACAGCACGCCGGCCACCGGGCTCTTGCCGCGGATCCCGGCCTCGATGAGGGAGCTCGAGGGCACGATGATCCGGGAGAGGGCCGGGAGGATTCCCGCGTGGAAGGGCGTGTTTCCCGAGGCGTCGAAGGACTTGATGGCGTCCGGGTAGGCCTCGACCAGGATCATGATGGTGGTGGTCGGGGCTCCGATCGTCATTGCCGTGTGCAGTGGGAGCGAGTTGTTGTCTCCGGGGTCCCTCGTCCGCGCGAGCTCCGGATACATGTTGAGGAGGGCAAAGACCGCCTCAAAGTCCGGGAGGAGCTGGTGGAGTTGCCGGAGCTGCTGTTCCCTCTGGCGGTCCGTGGGTGCCGAAGCCGACGCCGACGCCGAAGCAGACGCAGACGCCGAAGCAGACCCGGCCGTCATCGCCGAGGCGGAGTCCGATGCCGGCGGCTTGGAGTCCTCCCAGGAATCGCCGTTCTTGCCGTTCTTTTCCGGCGTCATGGTGCTTCAGCGCAGTGCAATGAAGCGCAACACACCGGTGCCAGTGCCGCCGAGGACCTGGTCGGCGAACTCCGATCGGATCGGTCCGGTGTCTCGTCTGGAACCGATGAAGGAAGCTTCTCGTTAGTACGGCAAGCAAAGGAATGGGAGGAATAGATGGTAACTCGCCATGGTCACCCCGATGCAGGAAAAGATCGAGCTGGTTCAGGGGCAGCAGTGCACTGGACGTTGTTTGTTGTCTTGTTGATGGTTTGGTTTGGTGGGGTTTCGAATCTCGGCGTTGGTCAACAAATGAGACAGGGAGAGACTTGTTTCTACGGCACGTGTGCGAGTTTACTACGACTTGACGACAAGGAACTCATTACTATCCGGAGGGAGACATCCCGCACGATGGGAAAAACTATTTATGCCACTACACTAACCGCAGTTATGGTGGTTCCGTCAAGCGAAAACCGAAGCAAGGAGTACGAACTGTAGAGCACTTATCGTACGGTACGTACTTGTACTTGTCCAGTATCATACTTGAAATTGACAGGTAGGCAGGGCAAATGGCCAGAGAGGTTCGTAACAAGTCGAGTGAGTCGTATTCACGGAGGAACCGGGAGCCGGGCGCGAAACAAGCGCAGATCGTTTCGAACCTGCCTCCGCAATTGTTTAGGGGTCGCGGTAGTTTTGAATTGCAAGACCGCCGTCTATTTCCGCACACCCCGGACTTTTCGACCGGTGCGTACCCTACGTACGACACTACTAGTGCTCTACGGTACTGCTAGGAAATGCTTCCGGCCCGGCAAGAATTTTTCATTTTTTTTCTCTCCTTGAATTTGAATTTCGAGAGAGATCTGTGGAGGTTCGTACGTACAGTACCGTACAGTACAGTACAGGACTGTGCTGTATCGTCGTACGAATGAGAATTCGACCACGAGTAAGTACAAGTACGACGTACAGGAGCAGTACTCGTACCCGTACCGATACAAGCAATACCGTACGGTAGTTGCGGGATCCAGCACGGACCGCAATTTTGCCCACTGGCACCATACGATCGATACTCGATCCACCCACCCACACAACTACGAGAACGAGTACAAGTACGAGTACGATACTCGTATCCACCATCCACCTCTCGGAGAGCCCGGGATCATTCCTCGTTGACACCGCGTCGCAATGTGTTAAGCTTCGGTGCCAGAGAACACGGAAACACACCACACCAACACACCACTCGATCACAAAGACTGACCACAACCATGCCACGGCAAGCATCGCCGTCACCGGAGCGTCCTCCGGAACGACCGCAAGGAATAAAGAGCGACGACGAACTTTTCGGGTTCACGACTGAAAGCGAGAACGAGAACAACAATGGCAGCAACGATGGCAGCAGCGGTGGCAGCAACGATGGCAGCCCCGGCGCGGTTGTCACCTCCGATTCCATCGAGATCGACGAGGTGGAAAAGAAGGACGACATCTACGAACACTCCAATTACGTCTACATCCTCGACCCCGAGCACAGCTGGATCCCGGCCAAGGTGAAGGACCGAAACCAGACGGCGTCGGGGTCGTCCTCGGCGTCCAGCCTGACCATTTCCGTCCCGCAGTACAAGAACGAGCAGGCCATCCGGTGCGACGGTGGCAGAACGGCGTCGCACGGCTACAAAACGAAGACGATAGACTTTTCCACGGCCGAGAACCAGGAGAGGTATCCGAACCTGCACCTGCCCCTACAGAACGTGAACAGCGAGGGCGAGCTCCAGGTCGTCGAGGACATGGTCGACCTTCCCTTTCTGCACGAGGCCGCCATCCTCTACAACCTCAAGGCCCGGCACGTCGAGTCGCTGCCCTACACCAGGACGGGGGACATCATCCTGGCGTGCAATCCCTACAAGTGGATCCACCGCTTGTACTCGGACGAGGAGCGCAGCAAGTACTCGCAGGCCCTGGTGTGGAACCGGAGGGCCGGGGCGCCGGTCCCGTCCTCTCCCCGGGCGGACGCGCAGCCCCTCTCGCTTTCGGCCTCGGGCTCGAACGTCTCGGAAATGTCCTCGCAGTCGCAGCGGCAGCCCTCGGCGGCCAGCGATCCCCGGTCGCTGCTCCCGCCCCACGTCTACGAAACGAGCTGCCTGGCCTACACGGGACTCGTCAAGGACCAGGAAAACCAGTCGATCCTGGTCTCGGGGGAGTCCGGAGCGGGGAAAACCGAGACCGTCAAGATCCTCATGCACGATCTCGCCAGCATCCAGGAGGAACGAATCGCCATCTCCTCGTCCTCGTCCTCGACGCCCACCAAGTCGAGGGCGAACCCAATGGCGGCGCAGGACAACAACGAAATCGTGCAGCGCGTGGTCGACTCCAACCCCCTTCTGGAAGCCTTTGGCAATGCCACGACGCTGCGAAACGACAACTCGTCCCGGTTCGGAAAGTACCTGCAGCTACAGTACGACGTCTCGTCGCCGCTGGACGACCTTCACGGGGGATCCTCCGCCACGGCGGGCATCGGATCCGGGATCCTGGCCGGGAGCAAGTGCGAGGTCTACCTGCTAGAAAAGTCCCGCGTCACGCACCACCACGATTCCGAGCGGACCTACCACATCTTTTACCAGCTCCTGGCGGCCCCGGAAGAACTCAAGATCGCCATCTGGGACGGCCTCGAGAACACGGACTCGGAATCCTTTTGCTACGTGGGAGAGACCGACATCGACGTCATCGAGGGCAAGACGGACGCCGAGCGATTCCAGCTCACCCTGCAAGCCCTCGAGCTGATCGGGGTCCGGGGCGAAATCCTACAGATGCTGCTGCGGGCCATCTGCGTCGTCCTCCAGCTGGGAAACATCGAGTTTGCCCCGGCCCAGCCGGAATCCGCTTCCGGAATGATGGCACTCGGCATCCACCACAAACCCGGAGCCGTCTCCGGCGACGACGGGAACCACGACGCCAGCGAGATCTGCAGCCTCGAGGAGCTCCAGGAACTCAGCGAGCTGATGGGGATGGACGACCTCGACCCATCGACCAGGGTGTCCGCCGCCCTGCGAAAGGCCCTCACGGTTCGGAACGTCGAGGCGCGCTCCGAAGTCTTTGCCGTCCCCCTGACGCCCGCCAAGGCGAAGGAATCGGCCGACGCCTTTGCCAAGGAGATCTACGCGAAAACCTTTCTCTGGCTGGTCCGAACCATCAACGACGCCACCTGCGCCGAAAAGAACTACGGCGTGGGCCCGGACGGCACGAAAACAAAGGGCTTCTCGGCCCCCTCGGAGTTTGGAATCATCGGCCTGCTGGACATTTTTGGCTTTGAAACCTTCGAGGTGAACCGGTTCGAGCAGCTCTGCATCAACTACTGCAACGAAAAACTGCAGCAGAAATTCACGCAGGACATTTTCCGCAGCGTCCAGGTGGAATACGAGCAGGAGGGCATCGAGCTCGAGGAAATCACCTACGACGACAACACGGACGTCCTGGACCTGGTCGAGGGACGGATGGGACTCCTGGCCTTTCTCAACGAGGAGTGCGTCCGGCCCAAGGGATCCGACAAGACCTTTGTGTACAAGGCGCAGACCATGAACAAGGACAACCGGTGTTTCTTCCGCGACAAGCAGGCCGACGACACCGAGTTCGGAATCCACCACTACGCTGGACGGGTCTTGTACGACGCCACCAATTTTGTCAAGAAAAACACCGATACGCTGCCCAGCGATTTGCTCAACTGCGCCAAGCTCTCCAGCAACGCCATCATTGCCAACGAGCTCAACAACGAGGAAATGATGAACCCGCTGCACAAGTCGGGAGCCCTCGCGGCGGGTAGCGGTGCCACCAAGAAGAAAAAACGGCCCAAGGCTGCCGCCGCGAGGGGCCCGCCCGGTCGACAGCTCAAGCGGCGGACCTCGAACATCGTCGCCGAGACGGTCTGGACCAAGTTCAAGAACCAGCTCTCGAGGCTCATGGACACCCTCGGCGAGACCAAGACGCGCTACATTCGCTGCATCAAGCCCAACACGCTCAAGGCACCATTGATCATGGAGCACGCCAGCACGGTGGAGCAGCTCCGGTGCGCCGGGGTGGTGGCGGCCGTCACGATCTCGCGGTCGGCCTTTCCCAATCGGCTGGAACACATCTCCATCCTGGACCGCTTCAAGTCGCTCTGGCCCAAGGGCGACCACATCGCCGTCCTGCAGAACGACAACCTGGACATGGACGAGCGGTGCAAGAAGGCGACCGACATCCTGCTGACCCTGGCACTGAAGGAAATGGAGTTCGAAAAGAACGGATCCCGGTTCCGGGCCTTTGTCATGGGAAAGACCCGGGCGTACTTCCGGGCCGGGGCCCTCGAGTTTTTGGAAGCGGAGCGCATGAAACACCTCGGATCCTACGCGGTCACGATGCAAACGGCCATCCGCGGCTTCACGATCTGGTCCATGTACCAGCGGTACCGCGTGGCCCTCGTGGCCCTGCAGGCAAACTACCGCCGGATGCTCCGGCGGAGGATCTATCTGCGGTGGCGCAATGCCGCGGTGCGGGTCGAGTGCTGGTACCGGGTGGTCTTTGCGAGCCGCAGGGTCTATCACCTACGGCGCTGCATGAAGGCCATCATGATCCAGACGCAGTGGCGAATGCTCCGCGACCGGAGGATACTCCGCGAGGCGGTCGGTGCGACGGTGGTCATCCAGTGCATGGTGCGGGGCTGCCTCCAGCGGCCCAAGTACAAGCAGGCCCTCTTCGAGAAGAAGGAGGAGGCCAAGCTCGAAAACCAGCTCCATGCCCTGCAGCGAAAACTGGAGGAAGCCGAGGCCAAGAGGCTGGCGGCCGAGAAAGAGGCGGAGGGAAGGATGGCGGCCGCCATGGAGGAATTCAAGGAAAAAGAGGCGGCAAGGCTCGCGGAGGACGCCGCCTCGGTGGCGCTGGCGGAATCCGAGGCGAAGCAGGCCGCGGAAGACTCCTTCGAAACCGCGGGGGAGGAGGATCACGCCCAGGCCCTGACCGCCGAGCAGCAGCACCTCATGGACGAGAGCGGAAAGATGCTCGAGCACCTGCGCAAGGAGGTCTTCCGGCTGCGCGGCCAGAACCAGCAGCTCAAGACCGACTTTGACCTCCTCAAGGACAACAACCAGCGCCTCATGGACGCCAACGCGTCGGCCGGGGCCTCCTTTGCCGCCCTAAACCAGCACGCCAAGCAGCTCAGCAAGCAAAACACCAAGCTGGCCGGCGAGGTCCAGACCTACAAGACCCAGGTGCACAAGCTCAACCTGCTGCAGGCCGAGGCCAGGGAGGAGCTGAGGCTCAAGTCGGCGACCTACGTCGCAGAGGTCCAGTCCAGGCTCCAGTACCAGAAGGCCCTCCAGAACATCACGGACATTATCCAGGAGAAATGCCGGGACCACCGGCTGGTCGAGAGCATACTGACCATCGCCGACGAGGTGGACATGGACTTTATTCCGGGCTCGCACGAGCTTCCCATCGATCCGAACGAGACGGATTCCGAAGGCATGGACGACACCGGAAACGATTCCCGGGGGGGCCTCCTGGGCTACTTCTTTTCGTAGTAGCCGGCTACGATTACGGAGCAAAAGACAAAGCGCAAGCAAACCGCGTTTTGCCGGTAGAATCGAATTCCTGTTGGCTTCCAGAGAACACCTTTTTGATACCCGGCATCACCGCTTTAACACTTACTAGTAGGGGACTTCTATTTCACAAGCAGTAGCACACAGACGCAAAACTTGTCTACTTTTTACTGTATGTTGTAAAAAATAAACATCAAAAATCCCCATCATGCTGCATGGTTCGTTGTTGTTAGCATTTCAATCATCACCAATGTACTGGCTTCATATATCATCTCCTCGTAATCGGGACTACGGTACCGTCAACGATGCGATGCTTCGTTACCAGAAGAATATGTTTGGACCCAGAGCAGCAACGCTTCGTACGTACTTGTGCACGTTTGGCTTTCGCGGAACATGCCTAAAACCTTATCATACCATACCGTACCGTACGGTACCTGGTACTTCTACTTTTTCAGGTACTAGTACTAGTTAGTTGCATGTTTTGTCATAAAACTAGACTTTTTCATGTATTTGACTCATTCGACCTCTTTTCGCAAGAAAACGAGTCCCGTTTCGAGCGACGAAAAGAACATCAAAATTCTGTGAGTTCAACGCTCTAGGGGATTTCGAGAATTGCTGACACCCATCGCACACGTGCGGAACAGGGCATCGTCTGATTGCTTCTTCTTCGAATTCGGTACGAGTAGCGCTCTCGTCACAGATGAATTCGGCAAACTCACAAATAACCACTATTGCACATAAATTACACCGCAACTTTGCTTACTCAAGAGCAATAACTTACAGACCAATAAAGAAATTCCATCCAATGAAGCTTTCCCTCGAGACACTCCTCCTCGCATGCTTTGCAGCATCTTCCACTTCTGCCGAGGTCCTCGACGAACAGCTGCAGGGTGCATTCTTCGCCTGGACGAAACATCATGCCAAAACGTACTCTAGCGAGGAAGAAACCAGGCTGCGGCTAGGGATCTGGAAGGAGAATCATGGTGCGTGCCCATATGGACCGCAAGACCCCGCGAATTGTCGTTCTGTGGTCATTTCCTCGCTGTGCATTCTTCGGTCGGAATTTGTATCTGCTTCTAACAAAGCCCGTCGTTGTTTCCTTTCATTCGCAATTTAGCTTTTATCGAAGCTCACAACTCGCAGGAGCCCCCTCCCTCCTTCACGCTGGGCCACAATCAGTTTTCCGATTTGACCCTGGATGAATACCAGGAATACAACAAGCTCGGAGGTTACAGTCCGGGTGTGATGACACCACCTAGGCTTCGCTCGTTCGAATCAACGACAGCAGCGACAAAACTCCGCAAGGGTCGTCGGTTGCAAGATATCCCCGATTCCGTGGACTGGGTTGAAAAGGGCGCCGTTCCCCCCGTGAAAAACCAAGGTGCGCATAAGAACCACCGCCGCCCGCATTTTTATGCCTCGGAACCGGATGGACCGAGTTTCCGAATGTCCATCCGAAAAGTCGTCCACGCCGTCGTTTCTATTTTTTTCGCTCCTCACCCGCGGCTATTGTCTGCATTTTTTTCACTAGGCATGTGTGGATCGTGCTGGGCATTTTCTGCAATCGTGGCAATCGAGGGTGCCCACTTCCTTGATACTGGGAATTTGACCAGTTTGTCCGAACAGGAGCTTGGTAAGAACAATAACGCTCGACGGAAATTAAAATTACGAAAAGCGTGTCGATGCCTATGAAGAAGCCGTCTCTCAACCTTTCCCTCTTAACTGCATTATAGTGGACTGCGACGCTTTGGATATGGGATGCGGGTAAGTAATTCTGACGATGAACCTAAGAAGGATCAATACCCTATGATTCTCGGAACGGTATTGACGTCGTTTACTTCGAAATCACTCTTCTCATCTTCTTCATTCTTTGCCTTTCAACAAAAATAGTGGTGGCTTGATGGACAACGCCTTTTTGTTCGACGAAAATTCGACCGGTATCTGCTCGGAAATGGATTATCCCTACGTCATGCATCGTCGTTGGCTACGAGGATGCGGTTCAGAAAAAGGAGAATGCACTCCTGTTGAACACACCCGTGTCAAGAGCTTCACCGACGTAGAAAATACTCCCGAGGCCTTAGTGGAAGCTATCGCGCAACAACCTGTCTCGGTCGCTATGTACGTAAAAGCTGTGATCTCGTCTTTCGTTTGCCCCTTTGTATGTTTGTATAGAAAACAATTTGACCGTCCAGCAAATAGGATGTGACTGACCCATCTCATCAACTAATGTTGTAATGTGTTTTTGCCACTTTTCGCATTTTTTCGGTGTTACTACAGTGAGGCTGATCAGCAGGTCTTCCAATTCTACAAATCTGGTGTTTTCGATGATCCTGGGTGCGGTAACAACCTCGATCATGGAGTCGCAGCAGTTGGCTATGGCACTTCTGATGACGGAAAAGATTATTTCAAAGTTAGAAATAGTTGGGTAAGTCCTACGCCATCAATCGATCCGCATCATTGGTTCCTCGCAGAATATCATTTCTCACATTCGAGTGCTCTGTCTTTCAAATCTTCGTTGCAGGGTGCAAGTTGGGGTGACGAAGGATACATTGTAAGTCCTTCATCGTTGACAATAATGGATCATTTTATGAGCTTGTTTCTTGTTCCCTGTAACCTCGATTTTTGTTCTCATCGATTATCCTACAACTGTTTCCACTTCTGGTAATTCTTTATGCCAATTTTTAACCACAGTTGATTAGCAGGTCCATAGAAAATAATGTCAATGGAACTTGCGGAATTTTGTCGTTCGCTTCGATGCCAATGTTGCGTGATGACTAAACGACACTGATCAGGAGCATCTCGAGAGAGAGCCAATTTTACGGCCAAACAAACATCTGCATCCTTAATTAAATCTAGACGAGATTTTTCGTTCTGAAAAGCAATGCGACGGCGACGACATATTTTCGTCCGTCGTCATATATATAAAGAAAATACATTTCAAAGTGGAAACAGTTTTCCGGTTACCCGATATTGAGAAGACTTGTGAGGCATATGCGGAATCTTCAATATCCAGGCGTATTGAATATTATCAACCTGCTTCCACTATAAAATAACTTGAAATCTTAAAAGGGATACGGGTTGAGTATATCGCATACGCTATTTACTTTTTAGAAAGGTATTGTCGCAAATTGCTTGATAGTATTTGCCCCGATTACTAGTGGTCTCGTCGGTCTCTTCCATTCGTCATCATTTTTATTGCTTGTTTTGAACGATTGACTCTAAAACCAGAGGCTTCTTGTCTTCCGGAATGACGATGCCTGTGTCGGTAGCTTTCCCTTTCTGCTCTTGATCGACGGAATCGTCCTCTGCCCCTGACGAAGAATGCGCGTTGTTGGCAGAATACGCCAGGAAGGTTTGCCATACAACTCCAACTACATTAATTACTAGCACCTGAAACTTTACGGGAGCGTACCTAAATGTGACAATCATGGTAGGTACCCAAAGAGCCTGAAGTTGGAAATTTAGGAAGGCAGCGAACTGAGTGAGATTTTCTGCGGCGAATTCCTTTTATACGATCAAATAGAATTGTGTCGAACTGATCTACACTGAATCGAATCAAATGGAATCCCTTCACCATCAACGCTTTACACTCAATTGGTAGTTTTTACAAAATAATATATTACTCACCCATTCCGCCACAATTATGGAGGGACATTCGGATTTGATCATTTCCAGAATGCGATCGTTGGCGACGCCCTCCAGTTTCCACAGCATGGCGAGAAAGGCAGGTATGTATACGGGCGAAAAGACGAATTCGTCCCAGAATGTCCGTTGCAAGACCCGAGACATAGATCTTCCTGGAACGGCACGGTTGATGAATTGGTACCACTGGTGCAGGACTGGAGCGACAAATGTAGCATTCAACAAAGCAAAGCGACCGATCTGTGCCAGGTTCAATTCGAAGGGTTCCCCTCTGGGTTCATGCTCCTCGTGCTGCGTTGGTTTGTCGGCATGCTTTCTTTCCCATTCGTCTCGCCGCTGCTGCCGGTCCTGCTCGTGCGTAATCTTCTGCGCCAGGGCGTTTCCGAGCGACGAAATCAGGGCCGCTGATATGCACTTCGTCGTGATTGGATGTGTGTCAAGCTTTTTCGAATACCAGTCGAATCCGGAACGAAAGGAGAAACGAAAGCTTTTCCCGGACGCCGACGAACTGCCAGCAGCATCCGCGTTTGCGGAAAACAATCGCCGACCGAAACCATGGAGTGTTTTTTTTTTTGGGTGGACGGAAACAGGGAGCTGGCGATGTGATGCAATGTTGGCCATTGTCACGGCATGTTCCTTGGCATACAAACGAGATGATCCCGGAATGAGTATACGTCCCCGTGAAAATACATTCTGCATGCTAGTTGTAAGGATGTTCAAATGATTTCTTTGCAGACAGCTGCTGCGAATGGATAGGATATGACCGGAATGGGATGGGATGAGCTAATAAGATGAGATATTTTTTTCAATAAAGTCACCGAATCAAAATGAAAAAAATGATGATTCGTTCGAAGGTGCTCGTCCTTCTTCCTATTCCAATAAAATGCGGAGGATGAATTCCCCTGGTTGCAATTGATTTCTGTTTTCCTTTTGACACCTAGAAAACGTGAATTCTACTTTTCGAAGTTCGTTCTTGTACTTGGGTAGGAGAATCGAGACTTGATCGATGAGATGACACGAGACGACACGACAAGAATTTCATGAAAGAAGAAACCGGCATCGGGCCAATCAAAAACGAAAACTTCTTTGATATAAGTTCGTACCGATAAGACCTACGTAAGGTATCTTCTTTCAGATTTTTTTGATAATGAATTTATTTATGAAATGAATGAATCAATCACGGATGAAAGATCTGAACAGCGCGCCGGGGGAGCCAACTTCCGAATCATGACTAGACGTCAGATATGTACTTTTCGTGAGAATAACAATATCCGTTGCGTGACGATTACAATCAATACACTCTTGTTCATCACAAGGAAGTATGAGTAAAATTATTGATTCATTGATATATACATACTTGATGATTTCAGATCCATGATGGGTACGATACAGTTTACTGATTGATTGGAAACATAATCACGATGCTATGGTTGGATTGGTCTTGCGTCGTCCATACTACGTTCGGAAATCAAGGGTGAAGGTTATCTTTTGTATCTGCTCCAACAGGTTGAACGATTTTGCCATTTGATTGCTTGAAATGAAGACTTAAATATTTTTTACTTTATATGCACATAGATTACTTTTTATACCAAAGCTGACAATAGCCATTCCGCACAACAACAAGGCCCGTCTGCCCGATTAATGATTCATTATCATCTTTCTCCCTTTCTCAGGATTTTATCCACTTCCTCCGATAGAAACAACTGCTTCACCCGTGAAAGTCATGGTTGATCCTCCGTACAAAAATTTCATTCTATATCAAGCGGACAAGTGCCGCACGTCTTCGGACACGATTTCCGCACTCTCTTTCCAAAAGACTTTCTTCTACAAAATTTCTTGATTTTTTTCTTTGAGGCTATCCAGTCACAGTTTTTGCTTTCTCTACCTTTGAAACGAAAGCTCGGATCGTCTTGGCAATCGATTTGATCATTGTTATCCTCAATTTCATTGTTGTCTTCTTCGGGATCTTCGTCACTTTGTTCGTTTTCTTCTTCCACTTCGATATTATTGTAGTCTTCATTTTCATTCTCATTATCCACTTCGTTGTTCTGTTCGTCATTTTGTTCATTGTCATTGTTTTCATTTACGGGCGGTGCTTCGATTATATCAAGATTACAGCAGTCTGGTCCACTCTTCTCCTTGATGACACTACATAGATTTGCAGAGAGGACTCCTTGAGAGGCGCCATAATATAGGATTTCGCAATTATATCGACCGCAGCAGCCAGTGTCGGTAAGCTTATTTTTGTTGGGTTGCGGAACGAACTCAAAATCGAAATCAGGATTCCCGCACAGATTGCACACAGGATTCAAATCCTTCACGTCGTCATTGGGCGACGGAATATCAGGTCCATCGCAATCACAATGCTTCCAGGCAAGGTACTGTGTCAGTTCGCAATATCTTGTTTCTTCCAGACTTCCACCAGACAATCTAACGTCCTGTACCCATTCTTGTACTTCACCACACGAGACTGTGAGTCCATTCGATTGGGTAAATGTTTTGCCTGGATTTGTCAGGACTCTCTCACCTGTGGGAGGATCCCGACATATGTTACCTGAATCAAAGTAGAAGTAATGAATAGTAATAAGCATTATTAGCTGAATAAGTTCCTTTTCATCGATTCCGAAACAATTTGACAATGGAGCTTACACGCATAATCATTTCCTTCTAAAGGGGTACCTTCGCAATGGTACACCTGTCGAAAATATATGATTAAATAAACACATCCAAGCAGCCAACAATTTGGATGACCGTAGAATAGCATTCTATTGATTTTTTTGTAATATTCAAATGGAGTATTTGATGCTGTAAAATCTTGAAAACGACAATTTCTCTGATTTCAAAGTTATATCAACAAATAGTGTGAGTCCAACTCGGAAAAGAATAAGAAAATTCCCTTCAATAGGCAATTGCAAATGATTTTATGTTATTTTAGGCTAGAGAATGAAGAGTCGTTTTGCGAATCGGTACTTGAAAACCTCTACTGTAAGCCTCCTAGTAAGAATGTCCGAAATTATTATGCTGTAAGTACTGGTACGTACTGGTACGAGTAACTGCCATGGTGACTGAATTCAAGGGCTCCAGACATTTTGGAAGATCAACAAGATTGGTTCTATTTTTAAGAGTGATACTCAAATAATCCTGATCCTACATAAGTGAAATAAATCGTTCGAATGCATGTTTGAACATGAAACAAATTACTGCACCATCTTGGATGAAAAATGAATTTACAACATCGTAGTAGTGTATTGAAAAAAATTGAAATACTGTAGTATGAATGATATCACTATTATTTTCTCGAAATTATTTAGACAAGTGCGATGAATTTTCTCTTCACAATTTGACTCTGGAATGTACATTTTCACCAGATTAAGATCTCTCTTCTTATTTTCCATAAAATTGAATACACCAAATTTCTCCTGAGATTCCATCATGTGACTCTGTCTCAATTGAATCCGATCAGTTGGGACCCCACCATGAGTGCTATAAGAACTCCGAATGACGACTGGATAATCGAAGCATCGGAGTCTTGGGTGTCAGATTCTTTGGTTTCATAGTCTTCATTGACGGAGTCTTTGGTGTCGGAGTCTTGGGTGTCAGAGTCTAGGACATTGCACTGCTGGTTTTCTGGCACACCAAATCCTTCGAGAAGACCTTTCATAGTTTGGATTTGACTGTTCTGAACGTTAATGATGGAGCGAACGATTGGCTCCAGCAAACAGGCAGGGTCCTCTTCGTCATCCGGGTCGTCGCAATCAACCTCGCCTGAGATGAAAAGAGTTTTGGCCATATTGACGGCATTTTCGTGATGAGGAATCATTTCACGAAGGAAAAGGATAACATCGTTCATTCGATCATCCTTGCCCTTGTCTCCATAAAAAACCGTCATTTCACTAAGCATTGCACAGTCCATGCTGTTAATGCAATTAGCCATTACTCCGATGCCACCGACTGCATCAGAGCAAACAAAATTTTCAGGGCATTGGGGGTTCTTAGATGTTTGGTACTTTTCAAGACCATAAGTTCCACACTCTGCATCATACAATGACACACAGCTGTAGTCGTAAGGAATTTCGGGAGTGTTGGTTTCGCTCAACATTGATCCATCAGGTCGAATCAACTTGATTCGAGCACTCATCCCAGAGTGGATCTGTGCACCAAAAACGGGGAATGTTGTTAGTTTTTTCGAATATATTTACAGTTGATGAGGCAATTCCAAAGACGGAAATGGCGCAAAGTAATGTTTACGTACGTGGCAGAAGTAGAAAATATCCTTATCATAATTCTCATCATCGAATGTGAGGCTTGTGACAAAGGGTACCATTTCTTCCCAGCCACCAAGAGGATAGAAAAAGAGAGGTTCAACGGCATCCAATCCAAAATCATCGGAACCGCCTTCAGGAATAGGAACAAGACTAGGGGTGTTACTATATACTCCGGTATACTCGTCGTCTTTCCAGTACATTGGTGCTGGGCAGCTGTTGGTTTCAGCGCAGTCCGAATTGCCGGGGGCGATACCGGGTTCCAATTCATCAACACCTACATGTGCACCATCAGCCTCGTAGCTAAACCCGATCAAGTGGTACCAGTTGGATTTATCACTTTGATCAAAAAGATAAGTTCTTTCAACTTCCAAGTGAAGTGTAGGGTTGACTCCATCGCAGCCCTCAACGGTAAAATACCCCCACTCTCCTGCAAGAAGATTTACACCCATGCGAATAACACAGGCACCAGTAGTGCCTTCGCAAGGGCGGCAGTCGACACCGTGAACAAAAGCGCATGCGCTTTGGCTCTGCTCCTCAGCTGTCACTCGGTGAGTTTGTTCTTGCATAAAATCAGGCTCAACAAGGCGGCGTGACGGGAGAACATCTCTATCCATGGTGAAATCTACATCACAATTTTCATATTCGCCCGCACCAAGTAGGTCAAGAGCTGCTCTCATATCCATGATCTGAGAGTTTTGGACATTAATAATATCGTAGAGGATAGGGGATAGCTCGCATTCCCAAGATTCTTCTTCGACACAGATCACATCGTGTGTATGCAACAGGGACTTCGCCATATTCACAGCATTTTGGTGGTGCGGGATCATTTGGTGACAGAAAAGAGCTGATTGCCCCACAGCATTTGTAGTCATGGAAGCCATCATGTGGCAGTTCATCGCTTGGACACATTCCGAGTATTGGGTTTGTGGCTCGATACCATCTTCGCAAACGAAAATATCGGGGCATGTGTCGATATCTTTCGGGTTAGCGAAGTCAGTGAGATTGAATGTACCACATTCGTAATCAAATGCATCGATTACGTCATATTCGTAAGGTATTTCGGGAGTGTCTTCGGGGTTCAACATTTCGCCGTTGGCGTCAAGAAGTTTGATGCGAGCACTCATTCCTGCATGGATATGGCAAAAGTAAAAGATATCTTGATCATAGTTGACGTCGAAATTCAATGCGGTGACGAATGGACCAAGTTCTTCCCAATCGCCGAGAGGATAGAAATAGAGTGGTTCGACTGCATCAAGACCGAAATCATCAGAGGGCTCTTCAGGGATTGGAACAAGGCTCGGAATATTGCTATACACGCCAGTGTACTCTCCTCCCTTCCAATACATAGGTGCAGGGCAGCTGAGAGTTTCGGTACAGTTCGAATTCCCGGGTGCAATACCGGGTTCCAGCTCATCGACAGGAACGTGGGCTCCATCAGCCTCGTCTTTTATCAGAGTAAGTGAAACAGAAACGAAAGATAAGGTGAGGCGAAATCAGATACAGGGAGGAAAGCCACGATTCGCGCCTCCGATCATTTTGCATCGATTCATTCAGTTGACTTACAAGCAAAGCCGATTAAATGGTACCAGTTGGAGGCATGGCTCTGATCGAACAAATAAGTTCGCCCGACAGTCAGGTGTAATGTAGGGTTGACACCTTCACAGCCCTCGACTTCAAAGTAGCCTGCAACGTGTAAATATAAGTTCGTTGCAATTAAATATAAATTGTATAAAGTTAGCTGATATCCAAAACTGTAATAGGTTGCAATCATAATACATCAAATCATTGGGCGGCAATCAGCTTACCTGTTGAGCTAGCGAAGAAGTTGACCCTAAGATTGATGGTACAGTCGTCCATAGATCTTGAGATGGCTTCGGCGCAAGGGGTACAGGGCACACCTGAAACATAGCTGGAAGATTCTGCTGCTTCGACAGTGTCGGTGGTAGTCAAAATCGATAGGGTAAGCGATGCCAAGACGGCATTGTTCATAAAGGAAATCATTTTCAAACTCGTTCCAAGTCTCTTTCTGCACTGCGTGTTCAGAAACTTATGTGACGAACATCACGAAAAGGTTGATGCATAACATACCGTGTACGGTTGGGGGCAGCGAGCAACAAAAGATAACACAGAACAATTTTGAATCCAGTCAGTAATACATTACAATGGTCAATACTGTCCACACGAACAAAGATAGCACAAGTGTTGTACTGTTTGTGTGCGTTGTGAATCATTTCCTCTCGGAATCCTCGTCACGAAGTGTCAAAAAATGACCATCATCGGCACGCGCATTTTGGGAATCCATAAATGAGATTTGTGTCTTCCATGAGATTGGCACGATCAGCTATTTTCGTACTCTTCAAGGTATAAGCCCAAATTGAATGTTGAATTTTCTTGGCAGTCACACATATTGTTTCCACTCTGCACATCGTCTCTATTCTTCTCGTAGTGCGATGGCAAGAATCAACTGTAGAGAAAAATTTAACAAAACTAAATTGACGTGTTCTTAAAAATAACGGGACTGAACGTTAAGTATGTCTTTGAATATTAAACTTGAGGGATTATGAATCAGTAACCACATCATGAGCATGAGTCACGATTTGTTAAAGGAATACAAAGAGGGAGAGCGATGACACTAGACTGGACCAAAGACAAGGGGCTTTCTTGGGAAGGGGGGAGAAAAGGCTCACCGAAAGGCATTCAGGCCTCTGTTGCACAGTACTAATTACTACTACTAGTAGTACACAGGATTCAGTGACTACTAGTACTAGTAGTACTACTAGTAGTATGAAAAAATCACAATACGGATTGTCTTAATGATCACGACAACTGAGTTGAGGATGGTCCATCATTAGTACTACTAATGATGTCAAATGTACACATGACGACATAGCGGACGGGAACACAATCACTACTACTAGTACCCTGTTTGCAACCAGGATTGTTTCTGCTCCAACAAAAGTGAAAATAAAACTTATGAAAATCATGAGTGCAATGAGAGACCACCACACCAATATACCATTAGTTGGCAAGAGAGAGCTTCGCAAATTGGCAATTGAAGCAGACAGTTTACCTGGATTTTCCTGGTGGAGTACTGGAAATCGTATAATATGAACCCGGCAAAAGGTTTTGAAGGAATAATATGTGGTGATCATTTCAAAACCACAGCTTAGTACTATTGATTGGATGTCCAGCAACGCCATAGCTCACAAACAAATATATGTTAGGTCATTCTAATATGCTTTACATTCTCTTCTTACCAATGCTATGTCTTTAACAAAGGAAGAGAATCTCTCCTTCCCAACCAAAGAAGCCCTGCCTCTCCCTGCCACCAGGACCCTGAACTGACACAACAAGACACTCTCATTTGCAAACTCCATCATGGGCAATGGTGGTTGGAACAAACATGGAAGGATACTACTAAGTGTGTCCCCATTAATGATGAGATGCTACTAGTTCCAATTCATTTTCCCATGGATGGTGGTATTGMAATTGATAGACACGGAAGCACAACCCTATGACCTCTGAACATGACTCTTGGTATATTCAGCAACTACTAGTTCTAGTATATGCATTCTACCAGACCCAATGGTGCTTGGGAGACAAACAAAACAAACAGTACAGTGTACACGAAAGACTTAGAAAATATATAGTGATCACCATGGTGTTGGGGGCATGATAGGGTATTTAGTTGAGTTTAAAGAAGAAGTGTGACCAAACAGCTGTTTGCTGTATTTTCATTGATTTGGGGATAAGATCAGTACATGTTAATCATATGAGTCAATCATACAATTCACTCCTATTATACGGTTCACTCCCAAAGATAGGATTCAACAGTACCGGTTTAATTGGGTGAGTCGTAGTTGTATTAGTCAATTGTACAATTCAATCGTAACATACAAGTTATTTTTACACCTTCCCCCACCTTCAACAAAAGAGGTAATATGTCAACAACATCACCCTGCCAATCCTTGACCCCTAGACAATTACACTTTTGCATGTAGCTCTAAGTCACAATAGTCGAATGCTAATTTTGCCAACACTTGGACATTTTTAAAATCAGAATGATAGCTGATCACTTAAATCATAAAATACTACACTACTAAGGTACCAATAATACTGTAGTAGTAAAGAGGCCCAGCAGCCCAACAGGTCCTGTGGCACCAGACAAGCAATACTGCAAGAAGGAAAGACAAGGCTATAAGAATTCAGGCTAAGAGCAGTTAGCAACAACTGTACTTAGCGTACTGTTGTGGATTTTACACTTGGATTTGCTTTATTTTATTTCTAGAACCTGTAAGAACAAAAATCAAACTTTCATTGAAACATAAAATGCTTGAACGTTGACACTGGAAAATTGTCTCGAAGGCACTAAGATTTTTATTCAAAACTCGAAGCTACCACATTGATTTCCCTAGACAAGTTTAGAGTGCTGGGAAGAAAACTGTTAGTAGTTCTTGTTCTGGAACGTGGGAGCTTTGCATATGGAATCAATGTGTTACTTCAGCTGCAGCTGGGAATCATTCTTGGAGAAAATTCAAACATATTTCCGCTACTTGTTGGGGTTGTTGTCTCGCAAATGCCGTAAACGCATCTCGAGAGTTTTGCGTATTGGATCCTTGAGCTCCGGAGCCACTTTGAAACGACTCAGCATGTAAAGAATAAAAAAATTGTAACACCCTTTGTAGGAGTTCCCTTTGCTGATTGGGATCCAATTTACGCATTTCCGCAACAATGTTATCGTATTTCGGCGATATCATGTAACCAATCAGAGTTCCAGCGATACCTCCGACCAATGCTCCAACCGGCCCGGCAACCATCGCTCCAAAATAATAGCCCGAACCCGTACACATGGACTGTGTGAAAGCAGCCGGAAACGAACTCTCCTGTGAAAAGGATTCTATCAGCACATCAAATGTTACATTTGAACTCAAACTCTGATCGTGGGTTTGGTTTGTCGCGGGAGAGTTGACCATATTGTCAAAGCTTTCTTCTTTAATGCCGAAGGTCAGTCTCTTCGTTGATATTTGTTCCTCGCAACACCAATGAAGACCTAATTTAGTGAGTCTTTCATGCCCTCATGTTTGTATGATCTTCTCTTCTTTTGGCTTGGTCCTCCTTTTTCCTCCTACACGACCTCCAAGATGTTCGGCTGTTTAGAATAAGAGGATATGATCACTTCCTCAGGACCTTCACTTGTACGTACTGTACGTACTTGTACAGGTTCTTGAGTTACCTTGAGACGACTCGGTGGCTTCCGAGTTGTAAATACTGTACGCTACGACCAGGTAACGTAAAGCACTTCAACTTTTTCCCGTCGCGTGTTGCCAAATGTTGCTACCTGGAAAATTTAGGATTTTTTTTTTAATAGTACTACTCAACTACTACTCCACTTAGCACATCCCTCTCATTACTATACAATATTATTAGAATATATTTTAAAATATATATTCATTTATATTACATCACTACACTTGCATATACATGTACTTTGGTGTGTATAAAATTGAAATTATAAGAATAGATTATCATACTGTGAAAGTGTCCTGAAGATAAAGTGTACTAGATTCTGATTTTGCCACCGTATAGCATATTTCGGTATTCTTTGAGGCAAAGGATCACTGCTAACAGCTCCTTTTCCATTGTAGTGCAATTTTTGTTGGGTTTTGTTGAGCTTCTTAGACCAATATGCAATAGGTCTTTGCTTTTGGAGTATTGCTGCTCCAAGCTGATACTAGTAGTCTGAGACATCAGTGTAGACGTCAAAGGGTATTTTGAGGTCTGCAAATGTGTTGATTGCATTTTGTGCAAGGAGGGCTTTCATCTCATTGAAGGCTTCTTGGTTGCATTTGGGCGTCCAAACATAGGGACCTGCTCCAGTAAGGGCTGTCAGTGGGGCAAGTACATGTGATTTCCTTGGCCACATGGACTTGTAATAGTAATTCACAGCTCCTAGTAGTAGGAACGACCAAACCTGCTGTTGATTCTACAGGATGCCCATCTTGAGGATCCCATCAACTTTCTTTTGCCATGGCTTAACACCAGTCAGGGTGAGCCAATATTCAAGGAAATCAGACTGTTTCACTGCCCATTCACATTTCCAAAAAAAAACTTAACATTATATTTAACCTCGTGAACTAGAAGAGGCACTGTATGGCCAGAAACATAGCTTTTGTTAGAAAGAATGGTTCTAGCTGCTCCAAGGGGCAGCACTTCCCTCCAAAGAGTTTTGTTGGAAATGCGACCAGGGGTTTGTTTCACTGGAATTAAAAGTATTGACTGAGCTTGTTTCTTTGAAGTACACTGGAAGAATTGACAGGAGGAGCCAAAGAAGTATCTGGCATGACAGGTTGTTTGTGACGCTTCTTTTTGGAGTAGGCGTCAAAGACCAGTGAATCTTGTGTGATGCTCACTGGTGGTTGCTTACTATGTGACATTGGCATAAAGTACTGGGTAATAGGGTGAGTGTTGGAGACAGAAGCACTCAAGATTTGATTGACACTTGCCAGAATCGTTTTCTCATAGACTCAATGATAATATGTGAGCATGGAAGTAGATGCAGTTGATAAGAAGGCTTCCATATCCTCTGGAAATAGGTGAGCGTGGGATGGACAAGTCTGTGGTTTCAGTTCAAACAGAGTGCAGACTTTTGTCCATATCTGCTGGAAATAAGTGAGCATGGGACAGACAAGTCTGAGATTTCAATGCAAATAAGGTCTGAACTTTCATCACCACATGC